TTTTTTTTTTTTGGTTTTTCTCTGGTACCGGGAACCGAACTCACGACCTTGTGCTTGCCAGGCAGGCGCTTTTTGCCGCTGAGCTAAATCCCCAGCCCCGTTCTAGGCCTTCTTGACCACAAGTCATAAGGCTTTTGGAGAGTGGAACCTGTGCTGAGAGAAATTCTAAGTTGGGAGATACTTATACAATACTGTACGTTACTGCCACTGAACTGCAATAGGTGACTACAACAGATCCTGTATTCAACCAGTTGTGTGATCTAGAATTTGTACAGGTAATGAAATTAGTTAAGGCTTGGGCACAACCGGACATGAAGTCCTTAAATAACAAACGGCTTTAGTTATCTTTCAGGAAGTGTCTCCAGAATCCATTCAGAGTCAGTTTGAAACTGGATTTTCAAGAATGAACACGTGGAAAAGCCAGCTGGTCCAGTCAATGACCTTTTGATGTCATGAGCTCAAAATCCTCCGCACAGACATCATAACTCCCTCCTGAAAAGACACACGTGACATGAGAAGGCACAATGACTATGCTTGTACAAAAGAACCCTAAAACTCCCCCTTCTCACCATCTAATCGACAAACAGCATCTCCTCTCTCCCTTTCTGTAAGTTCCCCTATTACCAACCAACTGGGGAGGATTGATTCGAGCAACCTATTCCTGCCTCCTTATCAGCTGACCTCACAATAAAGTTTGCTCTTTTCCTGAAACCTGGTGTGCCATAGTGCCATAGTACTGGCTTCTATGCATGTAGGGCACAAAGCCCTTGGTTGGTTTCACTAAATGTTTGAGAGTTTACATAGAATGAAATTTAGAGTAGGGGCTAGTTTACAGCAGATCTTTCACTATGACAGTTCCGACTCCTAGTTTAAGGAAGTTCCCATTAACACTTCCTGATCCTCATCATTTGATTTCCAGTAAAATTATCAAGTAACTCTGTGGATATAGGAGCCTTTTTTTTTTTTTTTTTTGGTACCAGAAATCGAACTCAGGACCTTGCACTTGCCAGGCAGGCCCTGTGCCACTGAGCTACATCCCCAGCAGGGATATAGGAGCTCTTTAAAACAAATAAGTGATTTATATGAACAGGCACACAATTATGGCCACTGAGGTGACATCTGAAGAAAAGTTTCAGGAGGGGTAAAGGCGTTTGCTTTAAGAAAGGGGAAGAACAGGCTGGGCAGAGCTAAGAGCTGGTTTTTAAGTCTGGGACAAGAAAACTTATCTCCCAGACTTCTCAAACTGGTTTTAAATTCAATTATTATGAAGTGCTGTCCGATTTAAATTCTGAATTTTTGGTTCAGAAAATACGGTCAACAAACATTTGCCAGCTATTATACATGATGAAGTATCTTCTTCCCCTTTAAAAAACACACTTATCTAACTGAAAGCAGGTCAAAATATCCTCAGGGCCAGTTTGATGAGAAAATAGCCAGACCTCAGATTATGAAGTTGGATCTGATCTCGATTCCTATTCCTTCAGAACAGGAGTGCGGGCCAACCGTTCAAGAAGGAACCATTTTTCTTTAGGTCGTTTCCCTACAGGACCAGCAAACTGCCAGAAAACATGAAATAAAACACTCTCCTGCCCCAACTGAACTCCTCACTTAGGTGTGTTGAATCAGGTGTGTCAATATAAAAAAGATGACAAACACTTATAAAAATTTCCAGGATTTCTCTGCAGCAAAATTTACAACCAGAGGTCAGACCCTACTCTATAATGACCCATTTTTATTCTTTTCCAGAACAGCCCTGACAACAATAAACATCACTCACTAAAAGCGCTGGTTCTAGAGTCCTGCCTGGTTTCCAGCACGGGATCCACCAGTTCCGGAGAAGTGAACTCTGGAAAAGTCACTCAATTTTTTTAAACTTCAGTTTCCTCAAGTACTAAATGGGAAATAATAAAAATAACCATCTCTAGTTTTGCAGTAGGTATGGTAAAAGATCAAATAAGAGCCAAAGGCAGCAACTGAAATTTCACAGTATCTCTGAAGCAGCAGGAAGGGCTGCTGGGAGAAACCAGATCCAACTCTCCTTTAACCAACAGGTAAAGTGATGCCAGGGAGACCGGAAGGGGCTGACCTAAGGTCACACGGCGTCTGGGCAAGAACCCAAACACACCCACCAACACCACTGATGAGAAGGGGCCAGAGAGAGATAAGCCTGTAGTTCATTTGAGGCTTGACGCTCAAGATCAAGAGAATTCCCACCTTCCAGGTCACGACCTCGGGCCCACCCACCTCCCACGGTTTGGTAAAAAGGTGCGCCTCAGTTTCCCCCTCCGTAAAATGGGGCAGTCAATGCCCGGTCAAAGAGGCCGGGAGATTTGGCGCGTCTTTCAGCCTTCGCCGACTTAACTCTCGCCTTCACGCCACAACCTTCCTGCATAGCCTTAAGGTCTCTGACCCCTCCTGCATCGCTTACCCGCCCGCCGACGAGGTACTGGAGGCCAGGAGGCGCTGCAACCGCCGCCGGACCGCCCACAGCGACCGCGCGGCCATGTTCCAGACCTGAGAGGACCGATGCGGCGCAAGCGCACTCACTCCAAACGAAGACACGCTCTCGCTTAAAAACCACGCCTCCCGGCAGCCTTTGCGAACGTTTTTCCCCCTCGGGGACTTCCGGACAGGACCGCTGCACTTCCGGTCGTCGGGTGCTCATACTGTTGTTCCGGGCAAAATGCTGGTTTAGTGTGGTGGGAACTCGTCTTAACTGCAAGGTTTGATGCTAGGCGCGGGATTCGTGGCGAACAAAGCGCGTTACGCCTCGCGCATACAGAGTTTATGTAAAGTTATAAATGTTAAAAGCGTGATTTAAAATCAAAATATAACCGGAGTTTATAAAAGTGAGGGACATAGTGCTGCGAAAAGGGGCTGAACAGGACCAGATCGCGTGAATGATGAAAATAATTGCAGCCTACATGTTCCTTCCCCATTTTTCTTCGCTTTTTACTACAATGTCTGTGTTTTCTGACTTAACTTTTAAAAAATATGATGTGTAGTATCTCGTTTTTTCTTGTTAAAAAAGGAAATTCCACCAGGGCTGAGATAGTGTATTTTTTGGTCATTCTCAATGACGAATGCACTTCTTTAGGTTCTCAACACCCCCGCCGCTTTTTCTTCTGTTGAATGAACCATAGTCTTATTCTGGTTGCAATGAGAACATGTGTCGAAACTTTTGCATGTTTTTTTTTTTTTTTTTCTTTTTGAGACAGGGTCTGGCTCTGCAGTTCAGGCTGGCCTTGAGCTCACTTTGTAGCCCAGGCTGGCCTTGAACCCGCAACGATCCTCCTGCCTCAGCCTCCCGAGTGCTGGGATTACAGGCGTGCGCCACCACGCCCAGCTACTTTTACATGTTTTAAGAATCACTTTGTTGTTTGAGGGAGATTGCAGGATGTAAGAAAAGAAGTAGGGCAGACAAGCTTTTCCAATAATAGGCCAGGCAAGAGAGGGTATGTATGTTCTGTCCTGGTATTACTGGGTAGCCCTTAATGTTTAAAAATTTTTTAAAAAGCGAGAATGGGGCATGCTCCTTTAGTACTGTGAATCTTCACCAAAATATGCTTTGCTTCTACCAGCAGTTTGGGTCAGATTTTCTCTCCTGCCTGACCCTGAGTTCTGAGTACAGAGCTGGAGTCTTGCCCTTTTATTTCTCATCCAAATTCCAGGTCACAAATGTTATAACCAACGTCTTATGTTTTTGTTATTGTTTTTGTCTTGAGAAGAGAGCAACATGGCTTAGAGAGGGACTATGAATCCCTTTTACATACAGGAAAACTGAGGCTCAGGGTGGTTGGTGCGTATCCAGTGACACAAGGGTTTTAACAGACCGAAACTTGCTGGTGTGGTGAAGCACGGAGCTTTAAGTTCAACTCAGACCGTGTCTGTAGTTTGAAAAGCCCCACAACCAAACAAGGCATTTTAACAAGAATTGGCATTTGAGCCGAGTATGGTGGTGCACGCCTGTAATCCCAGCACTTGGGAGGCTCAGGCAGGATTGCCATGAGTTCGAGGCCAGTCTGGACTACACAGCAAAACCCTATCTCAAAAAAAAAAAAAGAATTAGTACCTGTTCTTTAGCTGTTTTGCTTTTATTTCTCTCACTGCCACTTTACACCAGGTGTGCTACATACATGCAGCCAATAGGGCATCTGTTTATTAAATGCTTCTCTACTTCTGAATGCTGCAGTGCAACACGAGGGAGATACATGGATGAAATACTGCTTTGTAGTTAGGAGGGCTCTAGATGATATTGAACTGCAAAAGGTGTGATTATATAACCCATCTCAGAGGATTTTAGTGATGACTGAAGGGATAATTCCTGGAAAAATGGCTATGTAATTTAAGGGACAAAAGGAAAACACAGGAGCATTTGTTCAAAAATTACTAAGGGGAAGAATTATAAAGAAGGCAACAATATAGTCAGACAGGACCTTTTGGGTGTGGAACCCTGTGTGACTACACAGGCTGTTTGCTTAGAACTTGGCCCTGGCTAACAATGCCTGACACACGGTAAATATTCAATACATGTTAATTATTAATGATTTAAGTGTTCTTCTCTTGAGTCCAGCTATATTGGTGGAAAAAAGACATTTAACCTCAAATTGACTGCATAAAAATGTGAGAGAAACTGAGGATATTGTAGTGGATGCCGTTGGGATACATACTTTTAAAAAAGAAAACCAGCAGCCCAGAGTATGTGAGCTCTTTTGTTACTGGAGATATTGAAATGGAATTTGGATGAAAACTACCAGTTTAGATTGGTTGCTTTTTTTTTTCCCTTTTTTTTTTCTTTGTTTGAGACAAGGTCTTGCTCTGTACTCTAGACTGGTCTTGAACTCCCTGTCCTTCTGCCCCAGCCTCCAGAGTGCTGGGATTATAAGTGTGCCTGGCTTGGATTAGTTGCCTTTTGATGCCTGTAGTTGCCACTTAAAAGTCATTTCTTCCTCAGCAGAAGAAACATAGGCTTTTGAGTCAGACATTTCTTATGTAGCCAACACGGACCTGTTTCCTATGTCTGAAGACATGCAAGATGCTTGTCATGTATTATGTCACTAAATCCCCCTAACAGTTGGAGAGAAAGTAAAATAGTTAATCTTGCTTTACCGATAAGGAAAGCAAGAAGCAGGTCAAGTCATTCTTCTAAGGCTACCCTGCAAGTAGATAGGAAAGGCAGTACTCAAACCCAGGGTTATTTGGATCATAACCCCTAAATTATATGCTCTGCCAGTGAGCAGCTGGGGGATTTTGGTCCGGTCATTTTTCTTGCTCTGGACTCCAGTTACTTCAGAGGATGGTAGAGTTTCAGTTAGGCTGAAGTATGCTAAGCTTTAGGTGGGTAAAACATGTCCAGCCTCTGGCAAAATGTCCACATGTTAGTTTGGGATTTCCCTTCTCCCCGCTTGAGCTAACTGTTGAACTTTCAGGAGTTAGTGTTTTTATCTTTATTGGAGAGAAACATGTTAAAGACAGACCCATAAAGTGCGTACAGTGTCAAAACAGTAGTGAGTGGCATAAAGGAGGCTGCTTAGGACCTGAGGTCCTGGCACCACCTATAAAAGAATCAAGTGTTTGTAAAAGGCTTAGCACCCATGTGGCAGCAAACAGCCACCATCCTCTGGTTTTCCTGGATAGTTTTCATTTATAGCAGATATGGAAGGGCAAGGCAGTGGACCTCCTAGTGCAAGATAAGAACTTCATCAGGATAAAGACATGGTTCTAACTATAGCTCCAGGAGTGTCAGTGTCGTATAAAATAGATAAAGGACTTGAGTTGGCAGCAATTGACCCTACTATTCAATACCTTCAGCATCCTGTGAACATTAGAACTTCATGTTCCCATCACTGTGAACTGAAAACACATCAGTTGATCAACCCTGTTTGCCCTGTGGGTACTCAGGTATTTGATTTTAAAATATTCAAATCTGGAAGTTGCTGATAGCTGTACTCTGCTTAGATCTAAAGCAGATGAGGAATGACTGCGGGATCGCATGCTCTTGATGGCTCTGGCTCGCCTTTGTGCAGGCAGGGATGTTACCGATTTTGCGGCCTGTTTGCTTTGTCCACAGGTGGTCAGTGATGCCCAGCAGGAATGCGGTTAGCATGGAAGAGATGATCAAGTCTTTTCTCTTTACACTGCACCACTGATGTTCCAGCACTGCCCTCCTCTGCCTTATGGACTGGGAATGGGAGGCTGAGATGGGATGGAATGGCTTATTCACACGTGCTTTCATTTCTTCTTCAGAAGGGAAGGCAAAGGTAGCTAACAAAACCTTTAGGGCTGTACGGACTTCCTTCTCCCTCCACCCCCATTTCCACCCATTGTGAAGTCAGAAGGTTGCCCTCCATTTCCCTCTTCCCTTCTGCTTCTTCCCTCCCCAGGCGCATAAAATCATGCAGACAATAAAGGCCAGTCTTCTGGGTGCCCCAGAGAGCTGGGACGACTTCCAGTCTCCTCCTACTGTCTCTCTGGGGAGAGAGCATTTCCGCCTGAGGTGGACGAGCTGATACTTCTTTTGTAATGAAATCCTCATCCTCTTTCTAGGTCTTCTTCATTTCCCATTCCTGAAGTACAGAAAGACAAGACAGATCAGGTTCTTGACTGTTCTAGTGTGACTGCTGGATAAAATTTTTTTTATTGTACTAAAGATCTCCACTGGGCAGGGTAGAGAGCCTTGGGTCCTGGTCCCACTCAGTATCTTTGTGGCCCTGAATAAGTCATTTCATCATGCTGATCTCTCTTGTCCCCTCCTCCATTTTAAACATAGTAGCCAGAATGGCTTTCAGGGGGTGGTGGTACTGGGGATTGAGCCCAGGGTTTGTATACCAAGCTATATCCCTACCCTTGAATTTTTTTTTTTTTTTTTTTAATTTGAGCAAGGATCTCACTAAGCTGCTAAACTGTCCATGCTGGACTTGAACTTGTGATCCTCCTGCTTCAGCCTCCCAGAAAGATGGGATTACAGGCATGTGCTACCATGCTTAGCTCAGAATGACCTTTGAAAAAAATGTAATTAACATTAAAAAACCTTATTCAAACCTGTCCAGTGACTTTCCATTATGTTAAACAAAATCCACAGTTCCTCCAAGGGCCTGCAAGTTGTTAAATAAAGGTCGGCTAATTGTGGCCCTGTGGTCAAACCTGTCTTGTCTGCTTTTATATGCCCTATCAGCAAAAAGAGTCTTTCATATTTCTAAATGGAGAAGAATGATATTTCATGACAGGTGAAGATATGACATTCAAGTTTTAGCATCTGTAAGTAAGGTTTTATTGGGACACAGCCATTTGCTTTACTCCTTAACCTACAGTCTATGGCTACTTGCATGTTACAATGGCAGAATGGTTGTGAAACAAACCACAGGGTTGGCAAATTCTGAAATCCATACCATTTGGCTCTTTACAAACATAGTGTGCTGGCCCCTAGTGTCAGTGGTCCAGGCACTGGCCGGCTACCTCTCTGATCTCACCTTGTAGTGCTCACCTTTGGTTCCCTCACTAGACTCAATCGGATCTGCCTGGTGTCAAGTGTCAATCTTCTCCTCCACTTCCCAGTCTTTGCACTTGCCCCTGTCTCTTCCTGGTCATCCTTCCCTCGACCCTCACAGGACTCCCCCGTCATACTCCCTGCAGCCATCAGCTTAAGTGTCACCCCTTCAAAAGGTCCTTTGCTGTCACTGTCATTAAAATAGCCACCTCCATTCTCTGTCGCCTTCTTTTCCCTCGTTTTGCTGCATTTTATATCAAAGTACTTATTAAAATTTACATTCTCAGCTCCATAAAAGCAGGGATTTGTTTTGGTTCCCTGCTATATAATTTTTCATCTTAAAAAAGAGAAAAGTCATCACTCTCCACATTTGTTAGCTAGTAAACTAAGGTCCTTCAATGTCAAACTATCTTTTCGGTCTCATCTCCCAGCAGTTTCCCAGATGTTATGTGCCATTGCCAGGCAAGTCTCAGATTCAAATTCAGCAAAACCTTTCCTGAGCATCTCTGACACGCTGAACATTTGTTTTTGAGGCCCACACTTTCTTATCTGCAATTCTGAAACCCAGAAAGCTCAGAAGCCAACATATTTCTCAAGCACTTTGGCATAAACTCATTGAGTGGCAAACCCTGACATGAAATGATGTGAGGCTGAATACAATCTTCAGTCCACGTGGTGTGGATGTTCATGCGACTCACTGTGGAATTACTGCATTCACACATTTGCCTGGAGGGTACCACCTGAAACATGTTGGGGTTTTTCATCATACTTAGTATAAGCCTTTCTAAAATCCAAAAAGTTCTGAAGCACAGTTGGCCCCATGAGTTACACAGAAGAGACTGTGGACCAGCCTCCTGGAGTGAGCTCTGGGCTGAGAACTGGCACAGGTGGGTGTATCTCTGCTCTTGCAATAACTCTGGGTAAGTCCCATCACCCCTTATCTGAAATGGTTCTTTCCTGTCTCAAAACATTTTTAGGTTTAGAAACCAGATGACTGAGCTTGTTGGAATTGTGTGTGTACACACACAAGTATGTGTGCCTTATGAGACAGGATCTCAGTATGTAGCTCAGGCTGGTCTCAAACTTGTAGTCCTCCTGCATCAGCCTCCCAAGTGCTGGAAAGAGCTGTGTGTTAACCGTTTCTGAATATGATTGGACAATTATGGTCTCTGAGGACAGTTCATGAATTGTACTGTGTGGATTATTGGCAATTCTCTCTCCTTTTCACTTATTTTTGGTTTTGGAAGAGGTTCCATAAAAAGGGGGCTATCAGATCTCTGACTTTTGATTAGCCTAGTTATGGGTGTACCTTGGCTTTCTGTAGCACCCTTCCTTGGTTGGAGGTTACAATGGACGGGCTCCTCTTCCGTAGCTCAGAAACACAATTGACAGGGAGAGATTGCTCAGGAACATTGTTTTGGGGTTTATTTGTAGTTTCCTGTTAATGGCAAGAAAAACAAATTTTAAAAATTAAATAGATGAGATGTAATGCTACCTGCACCCAACCTTCCTGCAGAAGAATAAGAGCACTTTAAAAGACACAAGGCAAATATGTCAACACAAGAGGGTAAGGGGAAGATGATATGGAAGGCCTTGGGATAAAGACAGTAACAATTAAAATTACTGAACCTTCACTATGTGCTAAGCATTGCATGGATTAACACGTAGCTTTTTTTTTTTTAAAGCATAGCAGCATTTTAAAAATTAATTAATTTATTTATTTTTTGAGACAAGGTCTTGCTATGTAGTTCAGGCTGGCCTTGAAATTGAACTTGCAGCGATCCTCCTGCCACAGCCTTCCAAATGCTGTGTGTACCACCATGTCCAGCTTATGTAGCTTTAGGTACACTATGACGGGTCGTCCATTTTACAGGAAACTGGGAGAGTCAAGTGGTTGTGACTGGTAAGTAGGAGCTCAAATCCCACAGCTACGCTCTTTTTGGTGGGGACGGGTATTGCTGGGGATGGAAGCTGCAGGCTCACGAATGCTATGCACCTGCTCTGCCACTGAGCTACAAGCCCTGCTGTCCTGCGTGGTAGTCTCTCCTAGTAGTTATATCACCTTCACACTTACATTTTCCAGATATGTGCTTAATACTTCACTGAATGTAGTTCCTTAACTGTGACATCTTAACAGCTAAGCCTGTGAAGAAGTTAGAGGCGACTTGCCTTTATCTCCAAAGAGTGTCAAAGGGATCAAGCCCTCGGGACCAGAAATGTCTGGTATCTGGGAGTAGGAAGTGGCTGTGACTAACGAACCGGTTCTAGCTCCTCCACCCTCTGTGACTCTGGCCCACATGTTCTTCATCTGTAAAACGAGGTTGGAAATATCACTTGGAGAGGAAGTGTAGGGGCGTGAGACACAGCTCTGGCTTCAGAGTCACTGATGTGGCTGGCCCAGGCAGTGTGACCTGGAGCAACAATACTACTATACAACTCCTGATGACAGCTCATACTAATCAGACAAGTTATTTCATCTCTTTGAGTATCCATTATGGTTTGAAAGCAGGCAAGGCATTTATTCACTCAACATTTATTATATCTTACTGTCACTCAGACTTTGTAAAGGGTAGGGATATAATGATAAAATAGACAGTCCAATTCTGTGTGTGTGTGGTGTTAGGATCTAACTTAGGCCACTGCCTATGTGAGGCAGAGCCTCTATCACTGAGCAACAACCTCAGCCTCTGATTCTTAGTAAAAGTACCAACTACAGTAGTTGAGGGAAGGCATTATACAAATAAGGGCACAAATACAAACACACACACACACACACACACACACACACATACAGACTATAGTAAGAACTATGAGGAATAATAATGGATAAGAATGTTGCTAATTTAGAACAATGGTTCCCAACTAGGGATGACTCTGCTCTCTCAGAGGACATCTGGCAAGACCTGGAAACATTTCTGGTCGCCACAACTGAGAATGGGATGCTATTGGCAACCAATAACAAGGGCCAGGGATGCTGCTTAGCATCCTAGAATGCACACCGTGGCATCCTATAAAAAAGAGTTGTCAGCCCCAAATGTCAACACTGCTGAGGCTGAAGACTGCTCCAGAAGAGGGCAGGGAAGTTCTCTCTAAGAGTGGGGTCAGGAAGTCCTGCTGGAGGAGAGAATGCTGACTTGCAGGGTTGCTGGGACATTAGCAGCACAGGACTGGGTGTGCTCCAGACCCCGAGAGAGGCCACGTGTTATGGTGGTCAAGCAGAACTCTGTGCTCAGATTTCCTGGGTGTGGAATCCTGTCTTCCATTTTGCTCAGCAACCTCGAGCAAGTTATTCAGGACCTCTGAACCTGTTTCCTTGCTTGTCAAGTGGGGTTAAAACACTCATTACTACCTCATAGGACTGCTGTGAAGATTGAGGAAATACAAGGTAAAATGTGGTACTGGCCAATGTAGTAGAATGTAGGCTCGTTATTTAGTTCATGGTAGCCATTGTTATCAATAACTCCAAGGTCATTCCTAAGACCGCCCGCAGGATATAAAGTGAGCTGCTGCAGCTGCTGCGGAGACACAAGGTCAGAGAACAGAAAGGACTTGCTGTAAGAGTGCCTGTCATAGCTGTGCTGCAGGTGGCACATCCCCTTGCCTCCTTGGACCGCAGTTTTCTCCTCTGTAAATGAGCACAACTCCTACCCGCAAAGAGAAATGCTGATGGAGGGATTGTAGCACATGAGGGGACCAAGAAGGAGCTGCCCTGGCAGAGGCAGTGGACTCACCGCACTCCTGGTCTTGCTGGTCACGGAGAGCCCCAGGGCCGGCCCCCCTGCCAGGGACTGCTGTAGGCGCTCCTTCACGGCCATGAGCCGAAGCTCCAGGTCGATGCGGCGCTCCTCCCGCTCTCGACACTGTGCTTCCAAGGTGGCCACAGCTTCCTCCAGAGCCTTTAGCTTTGCTCCTGAGTCCAGAGACACTGATGAGAAACAGCTGAGCCTGGCCTGGAGCTCGGGGAGGCTGTCAGGGCTCAGGCCCTTGTCTGTCCTCCCCAGGGGTCTTTCCAGCCTCTCAGTCTTGCTTAAGAGACAGACTTTGGGCTTGGGCTTCTGGCACCACTATGAGTGCTGTGGTCTTTACCTGCTCAGTACCCCGCTTTTGGAAACAGCATACTGATTTTTCTTCTGGGAAACAGGCTTTCCCCTCCCTTTCCTTGTGTCTGAATGAAGCTGACCCCACTCTTAGTTCAAGGGTTTGACACATAAGTTAGCCCTGGCCCGTAATCACCTCTTATATTCTGGTCAGTGATTGGTTTAGGAGTCAGAGTTGGTCCAATGAGAGTGACTCCTGAGGTTATGGTGCAGTCACTGGAAAGAAAAGCTCTCGCTGCTGGGGTGGCTAAGAGGACTTGGTGAAGCTCCCGCCTTCACCCCTGGGCAGCCACTTGCCACCGTATGAGAAAGAGAATGAAACAAAAAGAGAGGAGGCACAAACACGAGTTAGAGGAACAAGCTTCCTGGTGACATCATTTAAATCCCTTGAGTTTATTACACCTGACCTGTGAATTTTCCACTCATGTTTTTCTTCTTTTCCTTTCTATATTAGTTTGATTTTGGTTTCTGTTACTTACAAATGACAATCCTAACACATGGCTTTACACAGACCAGGTTCTCCAGTGGGATTCTGGTGCTTATTCAGTTTAATCCAACAAACCTTAGATATTAGTACCTTCTTGTGCCAAGTGCTGTGTTGGGTCTTTGCCTCCATTCTTTGCTGTGAGAGAGACTGCACTGGAAGGTTTCCCAGAAATATTAAGTTCATTCATTCATTCCCTCAGTAAATGTTTACTGAGTTCTTACTATGTACCAAGCACTGTCCTAGACCCTTGGGACATAGCAGTGAACAAATGAGACAAAGATCTTTGCCCTTATAGAACTTGTGTGTGTGTGTGTGTGTGTGTGTGTGTGTGTGTGTGTGTGAGAGAGAGAGAGAGAGAGAGAGAGAGAGAGAGAGAGAGATAAATAAAAGAAATAATAATCTGGTATGTTTCAAGATGATAGAGCTATAGAAACAGAAGATGTTCATGAAGGTAAGAAAGATAGTCAAGCCTGTAATCCCAGCACTCGGGGGGCTGAGGCAACAAAACATAGCCTGCTCTTCCAAATGCTGGTTCTGACATTTTGAAAATTCTTTTTACTGAAACCAAACTTCCGTTTTGTCTCTGCCACTGGTTTGAGTTCTTTTCCACACGAAATGTATCTTGTCCTTTAAACCAGAAGTTCTCAATCTGAGGCTCATGGACAATCTGTGGGTGGGCTCCAGGGGCAGGCACTTGAGCCCCTGAAATTGTATGTAACATTTTGAATTGTGATTTTTTTTTCCTTAGGAAAGGTCCATAGATTCCACAGATTCTCACAGGGCTAAGTGGCCTTGGACTTGTTCTATGAAGATAGGACTTCTGTTCTCTCACATGTGTGGAAAAACTAGCTTAAAGTGTTGTGAACTGTAGCTAGAGGGAGAATTCACAGGAAATACAGCAAAAATTGGAGGTAGGGGAGCCTAAAGCAGGCAGGGCCTGCCAAGGTCCTAGGATTTCCGAAGAGGATCCTGGGAAAGTGTCACTGTACATCACTTGCAAGACCTGGACCAATGTCTTATACTTATCTGTGAATGAATGAATGGGAGGTTCAAGATAATTTCTTATTTCCTTTATTCTAAGGCACACTTTTGTTTTTCATACTTCTAAAGTCAGTTTGCATCTTACTCTATTAAGTGTACACATTATTGGGATGCTTTTCATCCTCTTATCCAAAAACAGTTCTGAAATTGATGACTCTTCCTTTGATTAGGAGCAATGATGATGATCATTGAGGAGGAGCAGAAGGAGGAGGATGAGAGGAGCCTGCCTGTCCTGGTGTTGTGGTTTAGATCTGAAATGCCCTCCAAAAGGCTTATGAGTTCAGAGGATGAGGTTTGGGAAAGTGATTGGCTCATGAAGGCCTAACTTCACCAGTCGATGAATTCACTGATGAGATCATAATCTGTTGGCTTTATTGGGAGGTGATGGGAATAGGACGGAAGGGTGGTGGAAGGGAGTGGATCCTGGGAGTGCGACCTTGGGGATTGTATCTGTCCCTAGGTGCTTCCCCTCTGGCTGTCTCTCTCTCTCCTTTCTGGCTTTCCTAAGGTGAGCTCTCCTCAGAGCCCTTCTATCATGATGTCTCTGCCCTGCCACACTGGCTGACCATGAACTGAAACCCCTGAAACCGTGAGCCAGAATAGATCTTTCTTCCTTAAAGTTGATTTATGTCAGGTATTTTGTCAAAGTGAGGGAAAGACTAACATACCTGGGAAGGATACAAGGTGACCTGTGCAAAAGATTTCCCCTTATTGTGCCAGGGGAGATGCTAAGGCTGTGCCACCCGTGGGCACTCAGGACCATACCCACACAGGTACCTGGATTACTCCGAATAGCTTCCTTTAACTCTCTCTTCTCCTGCCGCAAAGCCATCAGTTCTGTCCGAATCATCTCTTTCTCTTTCTCCAGCTTCTCTTTTTCTACCAGGTACCTCCGGGCATCCTCTTCAGCTCGGTTCTTGCCATACTTGTATTGATTGGCACCTGCAGAGACGTGGGGAATAAAAGGGTCCTTGGTTCTAACTGCTGGTGAGTTATGTGGGTGGTGTTAGCTTCTCTCTGCCTTAATTTCTCCATCTATTAAAATGGGAATATTTAGATTGATTCTCTTAGTGTGAATTTCCTAAACAAGAACAAAAAGGAGGCAGCAGAGAACAAACACGAAGAGCAAAGGTCTTCGAACCAGACAGACAAAGGTTTGCATTCTTTCTGCCTTTACTGTCTTTGTGACATCAGGCAGAAGTGAGCAGTGATGTTTTAGTGCCCTTTTCCTTAGGCTTCAGTTTCCTTTTGTGTAAATAAGAGTATTGGTTGACATTTACTTTATAAGGTATAGTGAAGTTTAAATGAGATGAGGAAAAGTACTTAGTGTAGTACCTGGAAAACAGTGATTGTTTAGTAAACATTAGGTAATCATGACAGTAATTATTATGGTTTAGATCTAAGATCATCTCCAAAAGCCTCAGAGGTGGGGCTTTGGGAAGGTGACTGGGTCATGTGGGAATTCAGCTGACTTGCTGTTAGCAGGTGCGGGCAGGCTGGAGGTGGGCAGCTGGGGTGTGACCTGGAAGGGTGCCTTCCCTCCCTGGCTCCTCCCTACACCCGGGACTTTCTGCTGCTGTGATGTGAGCAGATTTCCACTGCCAGACCCTTTCACTGTGCCCTTGCTGCCACGGTGCAGCCAACTAGGGGCTGAATCCTCCGAGAACTGTGAGCCAAGATAAATAAACTTGCATTCTTTAATTGGAAGGTGTCGGTTATTGTGTCTCAGTAACAAGAACGTAACTAAGACAGTAAAATCGTATAACAAAACAAGATTTGTGATGTATAACATGCTTTGAATTTATTTATTTCTTTAGTTAGGTTTTTGAGATCAGGTCTCACTGTGTAGCCCAGGCTGGCCTTGAACTCATGGCAATCCTCCTGCCTCAGCCTCCGGAGTGCTGGGAGTATACCACAGTACCCATATATGGCATGGTTCTATTTCTTTTTTTTATTTTAAGTTTTTGGTTTCTGTTACTTGCAAATAACAATGCTAACACATGGCTTTACACAGACCAGGTTCTCCAGTGGGATTCTGGTGCTCATTCAGTTTAATCCAACAAACCTTATATATTAGTACCTTCTTATGCCAAGTGCTGTGCTGGGTCTTTGCCTCCATTCTTTGCTGTGAGGGAGACTGCACTGGAAGGTTTCCCAGAAATATTAAGTTCATTCGTTCATTCCCTCAGTAAATACTATGCAGTTCAGACTGTCCTTGAATTCACTAGGCAGCTGGCCTCAACTCCCAGCAGTTCACCTGCCTCCACTTCCTGAGTGCTGGGATTACAGGCTTGTGACACTGATTTTAAAAGGGGATATAAACTGGGCATGGTGGCACACACCTGTAATCTCAGCACTTGGGAGGCTGAGGCAGGAGGATCGTTGTGAGTTCGAGACCAGCCTGGGCTACAGAGTGAGCTCAAGGCCAGTCTGAACTGCATAGTGAGAACCTGTCTCGAAAAGACAAAAAAAGTGGCGGGGGATGTTTTATATGAGTGACCTCTCAAGTATACATAAGATAAGAAGATAGTTACTTATAGCTCAAATCCGTAGAGACTCTTGACCTGAGTGGAAGGCATTGCCCATTGTACTGGTGGGCTGGGATGGCATCCAGGAGTCTACAACTCTAGGTTCAACACAATGGTAGACAGTAACAACACAGAACTATGGCAAAAATTCACTGAGCATTTACTGTAGAGGAGGTACCACATGCTAAGCCATTTATTCACATTCCATTTAAGTCTTAAACTCTATTTCCTTATTAGCTGTACTTGTTTATTACTCTGCTTATTAGTTCCATTTTACTGTTGAGAAAAATGAGGGGCTAGGTCCCTCTACTAATGGTGACCTAGCCGAGGTTGAACACGACTCCAGCATCTGTGCCGTGTATCACTGTTTTAGCAGAACCAAGGCCAAAGTCCGACCTCTTTGAGAAAGCTGCAGCTGGGATTATAGGGCCACCTAGTGACCCGTGCGAAAACCAGTTGTTGGCGTAAATCATCCTGCAAATCAAGCCTGGAGTTCAAATGTAGCATGAAGAGCAGGAAAGGGGACCCAAACCCCATGCTGTTTCACAGCGACTCTTGCACTGAGCTGGCACTGCGGTGGAGGGCAGTAAAGGCAGAGGCTGTGGCTGAAATGGTGCGAACTCTCACCGTTCTTACTGTGATTTAGTAAATACTCTAGGATAAACGTTTCCTCATTTGCTGTCTGCCCTGAGAAAAATTTCCAGAAACTTTAAAGTGTTTTAATAAGCTTCACTACTTGGCAGTGAGTTTAATAATCTTTGCCACTTCTATTGGTTTTGCAGGGCGGTGAGTCTCCAGAGCTTCTCACACCACTATTTTTCTCAACAACCTACTTGGCCTCCATGGTTCTTGTTTCCTGATACTTGTGCCCCTTTCCCCAACTACACTAAGTCAGGCTGAGATATGTACCCATGTGGATACTGTAAAAGAGGCAGCGTATGACTCCTAAAGCTAGGTCATAGCAGACGCTGCAGTATATGCTTGCTTCCTCCTTGGACTTGATCTGGGGAAGCTAGCTGTCACATCATGAGGTCATGCAACTATACAGACAGGTCCTCAAGGTAAGGAGCTAGGCCTCCTTTCAACATAGCACATGCTGGGGGCACGTGAGTGAGCCAGTGTAAGAGCACGTCCTGCACCAGTGAAGCCTTCTTGTGACCTCTGGTAACTGGCAAATATCCTGACCGCAACCTGGCCACAGGACCCATACCAGGACCGCTGAATGTATGCTCAGTTTCCTGCCCATCAGAGACCGTGACATAACACACACTCATTGTTTGTAGGCACTAAAAACTGGGTAATTTGGACTGTTGCAATAGGTAATTAGTACTCAATTTTGGGCAAGACGCTTTTGCTATAAACTGAAAGTTTCTGACCCCCTCAAACTCACGTGCTGAAACACAATCCCAGTGAGATGGTATTTGGAGGTGGGCCTTCAGAATTGGGGTACAGAGCAGAGCCTGCATTAATGTCATTAGAATCCTTGAAAAAGAGACTCCAGAGAAAAATGGCTATCTCTGAAATGGAATGGACTTTTGCAGGCACCAAATCTCCACTGGCGCCTTGGTCTTCCCAGCCTCCAGACCACGAGAAGTAAGTATCTGTTGTAGGTCCCCTAGTTTATGGGATTTTGCTATGGCTGTCTCAGGGGACTGAGACACTTCTCTTTGTGTTCTGCAGTTTCTTCATCTGAAAGCTAGCTGGACTACGTCAGTGGGTTCCCACTGCCCTTCAGAGCTCTGTGACTTGCTAGGGGTGGCAGGGCCATTATGCACTTCCACCAGTGTGTCCCCATTTTTAACTCTCCATCATAAACTGGTCTTTCATATAAGATTTGATCTAAAGAAAAGATCTGCTTGTCTTAGTGTTTTTGACATTTTATAGTATCTTTAATCTTACATGCTTATTTTTAGTAATTTTTCTTTTTAAAATAGGCTTCATAAGGCCCCATATTTTTGGTGCTTATGAGGGTGACACGTACAGAACATTACACATTCTTCTAGCTGTTCAGAAAGGGAACTCAGGCCCAGAGAAGGGAAAGGACTTTTCCAAAGCGGTCAGATGAGGAAAGGAGGACAGATCTCCTGACTCCTGGGGAGGGATGGACTACACCAGATGGTGAACCTGATAGAGACCAGTGCCCAAACTGCACCACAGAACCCTCTTATTTATCACCAAGTGCCAACACTGCAATTAAACTGAATACTGACGTTTTAGTTTAGAAATACAACTCATACGTTAACATCTTTTGTCTTAAAAGAAAAATAACATGCCATAGGTTCACTACCACTGGTCTACACTAGTGAAATGGAGATATAGTAAGACAGTGTTTTGTTCAAGTGCAACTTGAAGACATATAGAAGGAGGAAGAAGAAACTCTTGAAGCCTGCTGTCCTACATTTGCTCATAGTGATAAGTCACACAGGAGCAGGTGTCAGTGCTGGAAATCAGACAGAACTTAACAGAGTTGTCTGTCATACTTGGTCACTATTGTGCAGGGTGACGCTAAGGCCATTCACTGAGCCCACAGGGCATTAGGTGGAGCTTGGGCTGGGGCACCCAGGTGAACTGCGGCTCTCATAGCAGCTCCCTTCAGGGTATGTGGAGGGATTTGACTCTCTACTTGCTATTGCAGATGGAAATCACAAATTGTCAGCTTCTGGAACAGAGACAGCTTGGAGAAGATCTCTCTGTCCCTCTCCTATCTATAAAACACTTTCAGTTTTACAATGTTTAAAAACTAATTGCTAATATTAAAAAAATAAGATTTCACATGAAATCTAGATTTCTGGCCTTTGAAAAATCAGCAAATAGGGCAAGAGGGAATGGCACTGCACATGGGGACCATTAGAGGGAGACGTGTAGTAGTTACCTCTAGAGTTGGTTCCAGGGCTCCCGTTTCGGGGCTGTCCTGCACTCCCTGTCATTTTCCCTCTCAGGCCCCTTGCCAGTGCCTTATCACTGTGCTTGTTTTATTACTGTTCTTTTTCTTTCTCTGTGGCACTGGTGAGTGGACCCAGAGCCTCATCCATGCTAGGTGAGTGCTGTACCACTGTGCAGCCCCCCAACCCTGTTATTTTTCTTAGGATAATTTGTTCTCCCAGTATTGGGGATTGATTCCAGGGCCTTTGCATTGAGTTATATTCCCAGCCCTTTTAAAAAATTTTTCTTTTGAGACAAGGTCTCGATAAGTTACTACATCGCCTAGGCTAAGCCTGGACTTGTGATTCTCTTGCCTCAGCCTCCCAGAGTGCTGGGGTTACAGGAGCATGCTACTATAACCCGCTAGGGTAGAGCATTTCCTTACACCTCACTTTCCTCACTTATTTACCTGCCCCTTGGAGGAACCTGGCCTTGAAGCCCCTGGTATGGACTGTTCCCTCCCTCTCCCTGGCTCCGCAGGGAAGGCCCACATAGAACTCACTGGAGGCATGGCGCTTGACTTTGACCTGCGGGTCCACGCGATGGGACTTCTCACTACAAGAGGAGGCGTGGCGCTTCACTTGGGCCCCAGTGGGGCGCTCGGGCTCCTCGTCCTGAGTGGGAGAGGGAGGAGAAAGGTTAAGGGCCGGCAGGCTCAGACTCATCAGTGCAGAAGCTTGCTCTCTCTTGGGGCACTGGCAAGATTTCTGAGCTCTTGACCTTACATTTTTAGACTTGTGCAATACTCTACAGTTTATGAACCACTTGCACGAGCAGTAGATCATTTGAATCTCATGCCTTTCTATGGAAAGCAGTAAAAGGCAACTCTAAACTAGGGGACTTGATGGGAAGAAAACTAGGAAGTCTCAAAAGACAGTAGGTGACTATATTTGATTCACCATAGGTATTTCTGGCTTCACAAATTCTGGAAGCATACCTCTGATTTTCTGAACTGCTAATACAATCTTCCCTCAAAAAGAATCAGTCAGCCAGGAGTGGTGGTGCACCCCTGTAATCCCAGCACTCGGGAGGCTTAGGCAGGAGGATCGCCTTGAGTTTGAGGCCAGCCTGGGCTACACAGTGAGTTCAAGGCTATCCTGAACTATAGAGGAAGACCCTGTCTCAATAAAAGCAAACAAACAAACAACAACAGCAAAGAATCAGTCAATGGTAATCCATAATAATGGTAACATATTTAAGTATGGTAATAAAATACATAATTCACTAGCTTACACATATATTTGCATACTAAGAGTTTATGGAGACTCAAAATCCAGTAAGACTCAGGAAACCCTAATGAGATTAGATAATACTGTTATACAGTAATCATACTGATAACAGTATTCTTTATAGAAAAAAGAAAAACTATTATTTACTGCTCTGTACAAAATGTTGCAATGAGAAGGCACTGATTTTTTTTGTGTGCTTAATTTTTTTTTTTTTCCATAAAGTGTTTCAATTAGTCCTTGCAGTGCCCTGGAAGATAGGTTTTTCATGCCCAGCGAGGACCAGAGAAGTAGGACCACTCAGCCCCAGCCTGGGTCTGACTCCCATGCCCTTGTCCTGAAGCACTGTGCTGCCTGGTGACTGGTTGTGCCACAACTGTTAGACAAAACCTCAAGCAGCATACACTGGTTCACCTGAGCAGAGGAAAAGCCGTGTGGACAGAAGGATGGGTGGAGGATGGTTAGGGAAGTTTCCAGAAAAGGGAGCCCTGGAGTGAGAGTGAAGGGCATCATCCAGTAATGTCCACAGCAGGGCCTGGCCTGCAGACAGCTAGTGTCCTTGGCACCTCGATTCCCTCTCTGCCCTGCTGTGAGGCCCCCCCGACCGGCCTGTCTGTGTCCAGTCGGAATGGGGTGTTCCTGAGGCTCCCTTGGGAGGAGCAGGCACAGGGCACGCTGCCACGGGCATTCTGGACAAGGTACGGGGGGACAGGCACAGAGAGGCCTTGCTGTAAATTAATGAACTGCCACTGCCTGGGTTTAGCAAGCAAAGCAGGGAGCTGATGTCTAGACTGTGAGTGTCAACAGGTGAAGGCCACCCTGTCAATATCCATCCCAAACACCGGGGAGCTGCAGCCTCCGTTCACAGCGGTAAACAGAGGAGAGCCTGCTGCCACGCCTTTCTGCAGTGCCTAGCAGTCTGCAGAGCCCGTCCTTCCTCCCAGCCTGGGGCTCTTCCACCTGTGCCACCTGTGTCCAGCACCAGGGATGCTCAGCCTGAGTCAGGAGCTACGAGAAGAAGGGACTCGCCTTCTAGCTGTTGTTTAAATAAAGCCGATTTCCTAGGAAAAATGTGCAGAATGGGCCGTGAAGAGGAAACAGGGAAGAAAGTGGCCTTTCTGACAGGCCGATGCCTACCCAAGAGACCGTACCTGTATCTTTTCATAAGGGACGTCGTCATAGACACGGGGCTCGGGCCACTGGTCCTGGTAGGATCTTGCGTATCTAGAACGTGAAAGGCATGAGATGCTGAGGCTGCGCACTCTGCTGTCCCAGACCGTCTCACCTGAGCCCGGCAGCAGACACCAATGTGGGATGGAAGAGCACAAGCTGTCTGAAGGCCTCAAGGGCAGGAGCTGGATGATTCCCACAGCAGCCCTGAAGGCAGGCATGGGGCATTCATCACCAGTGCTCTATAATCCAGAAAATCCAGGGCCCAAGGTGACAGGCAACCAGCCCTTGTGCCCAGAGCCTAGGTGGTGACAGTGCTGGGACTAATGCAGCTCTTCTAATGCCACGTGCCACCCAGACACTCAAGGTGTGATGGTTTATGGTCCAGTGGCACGAGGACAAAGCCAAGACCACTACTCTGGGGTTTGCCCCATCCACAGCTGGCCTGGATGCTGGGCTCCCTCCCACAGCCCACTCCCTTCCCTATGCTGCAGGAAGGCACCATCCTAGCCTCCTGAGGGGCAGAGTCTTCTCGAGTGCCTCCTCCTGCCCCACCCCTCCAGGTGCCCAAGGCCAGGCGCAGAGCCTCTGAGATGGTGCTGGGCAGGCAGGTGAGGGCCGAGGGCTGGTCCTTACAGAAAGGAGTTGTGCCCGGCAGTCACGATGCTGGTTAAGGTCTCCACGTCCACGTAGTCATAGTGCAGTGCCTCTGGAGTGACGCTGGAGCCCATCTCCACCAGCAGCAGCCCAAGCCAGCGACCCATGTCCTCTGAACAGCTCGCCTGGGGGACAGGAGAACAATGAATCCCATACACACACTGTCAGGGCTTCTGCCTACCTGCTTACTTCAGCCAAGCCCACAGATATGTAAAAGTGGCTTTTGTGTACCCAGAAATCTGAGGCTCCCTCCTTCCTTCCATTCAAGGTTCTGCTCAAAAGCCACCTCCCCTGAGAGGCCCTCCCTGACTATGTCTCGGTGACAGCACATCGTCTTACCACCCTCAGGATGTGGATGTAAAAACAATGTGCCCTAAAATTTTTGAGAACTACTTTTGATCAGAGGAGGCTACTGCTCGTATAACTCAATCAAGTTCTCCTCTGTTATCACTGCCAAATAGTTGTGGTACCATATCATAGGGGAAATTTCCAAAAAGTTGTCAGTCAACTAAATACATACTTCTCATTTAAAGAGTGTTATTATTAAATGTATTTAGCTCACAAATGATAAATCTGAAGAAAGGAAGCACAACTTTTACTAGAAAGCTCTGTGAATGAGTTAAAGTAAATATGAGATCTTTCTGATCTATGAAAAATAAAAGTAAGTTACAGAGGCTGTATTTCTTGAGACTTAAGAACCAAGAGAAGGAGTGGGATTTGGGCAAAGAGCATGAGTCCAAGAGGCTGAGCCAGGTGCAGTGACACAGGCCTGTAATCCCAGGTGCTTAAGAGGCTGAGGCAAGAGGATCTCAAGTTTAAGACCAGGCTGGGTAACTTAACAAGATCCTGCCTCAAAAGAAAATTCAAAAAAGGCTGAGGATGTAGTTCAGTAGTGGAGCACTTGCCAAACACATGTGAGGCAAGGCCCCAGGTTCAGTCTCCAGGACCACAAAACAAAGAAAAAGCCAAGAACGCAGGTTTTAGTTCTAGAACAAAAATCAAGAAGCCACTGACCCTCCCTCTGTGGAGCCCTGGACCAAGACAGCACTTGGCTGCTCTGGCTCGGTGGCCTCTGGCCTTGTAATGTGAGAAGGGAGATACTTAAATTTTCCCTCAGTGTCAACATTTTAGATTCTCAATGGCCAGGTCTGCCGCGTGCAGGACACCTCCAGTGCGTTGTGCGTGGTCTCAGAGCACGCACCGGGGCAAGGGGAGTGGGTGAACGAGTGAGATGAATTCATAGTTCACTTATTCAACACGTTTACCATTGAGCCCATGGTGTGTCCCAGGCATCATGCAGGGGTCTAGAAAGAGAAAAGTATGCAGAACAGGCACAGCCTTCATGGCGCTTAAAGATTTAACTCAGTATGGGGAACGTCCTTCCGGACAGTCCAGTTGCAGGGAGTGGTTTCTCTGAGGCGGTCAGCTCCTGCTGGGAAGCCGGCAGAGGGGGTTCCTGAGACAGGTGCGAAGGGATCACATGAGACGCCTTTCACTAGGGCCTTTAAGGTCAGGGAGAATAAACAAATTTTAGTTCTAGGGGTGCCTGAATTAAAAGAATAAAAATACAGAAGGATCTGTTAAATTTGAATTTCAGGGAAATAACAAAAAAAAATATTTTTTTTTAAAGTTGAGGATGTCATAAGAACTGCACGGGATACACGGAAACAGGATTCGTCGTTTACGTGGAATTTGAACTGAAGGGTTCCCCATGTCACCTGGCAAGCCTGGGTGGCCCCTTGCCTTGCTCCCTGCACCGTCAGCGGAAAGCCCACCGCACCCCACGCTTGGGCGCACGCGGACCCTCCCCTCACCTCCAGGATGGCCACCTCCTGCCGGTTGCGCAGGATCCGGAAGGCAAACGGGTGTCTGGGCCCGAAGCCCGGGGCCACCTCGCAGCCGCGGAGCGCGACGGCGTTCACGTGCGTGTGCAGGTCGGCGCGGTCCTTGTGGAAGTACAGGGTGCCGCGCTTGAGGCGGCACCAGCGCTCCTTCCAGCCCTGGTTCACCAGCACGTTCAGGTAGCCTAGGGGGACACCGCGGCGTGACCTCCCGCAGCCCGCCCGCCCACCCAGCCCGCGGGCAGCCAGGGCTCTCCGGGTGACCGTGGCCCCTGGGTCTCTCCAGGCTATGACTTAGGCGTCCTCTTCTCGGAGTGGGCACTGATAATCCCGCTCACGCATCACCGCACAGCCTCGGGCCGCACCAAGACGACGAACGCGGCAGGGATGCTCGTAAAATGTGTAAAAGACACAGCGGTCCCCAAACCTCAACTACTGTTCAACGTTAGAAAATAAAGGGTGGTGCTGACCCCTAGTGGCAGCGTGTGGGAACAGACTCATCCACCCAACGTAAAGAAATCAGAAAATCAGCAAGGTGTGGGCAGTTACATCGCTCACCAGAGATGGGGCTAGAATTCCCTCATTTCCTCTTAAAATGGAGTTAAACTTAAAAAAAAAAAGCTTTGATTTACTGATTTTAAAATATTTTTCAAAGGCATGTGCTTTTATACTGTTTTTTAGGGCCATCAGAATCTTAATGCATATTCAAAATAGGTGCAGTGATTTTATTTATTTTTGTGGTGCTGAGATTGAATCCAGGGCCTTATACGTTAGCCACGCACCCTACCACTCAGCTATACCCTGAACCCTTTAAAATAGATGATTTTGTCAGTCCTGGGTTGCTGTTCATGGAACACTGCAAGAAACAGTAACTACTTTTCCATGAAAAAAATGCTTTATTTCCCAAAACACTTCTCACTTACATTGAATACATTACATTGAAAAGTACTTGATTATTTTTATCCAAATTTTCTTATAAGGCTGACTGTAGCATATAGACCTGGCATGCTATATGTGACAAAATAAGTCACTATCCTCTCAGCATAGAGGAGCAAACTAAGAAACTGAGGTCTAGAGATTTGGGCTAAGGCCATGGAGCGCACAGAAGCACGGGAATCAGCTGGCTTCTCCTTTTGCTGAGCACCCGGCCCTCACAGGAATGAAGAGGTGAGGGCGTGGATGGTGATGCAGTGGGCTTTAGCCATTCTGGGGCCGGCTTTTCTCGCCTGCCCCGCGGGCCAGGTGGGTGAGGCATTGAGGGCCTCCTGGCTTTAGCTCCAGGAGCCTGTGCCCAAAGGGCTGAAAGCTCCATACCCCATACCCACCACAGCATGGCACTTCCTCCTCTGTGGAGCATATCTGCAGGTCCTCAGCCAGGGCCTTCTTCTTGGAGAAGCTGATGATGCGGGTGATCTTGCGGCCCGCGGCCCGGCTCATGGAGCCCTTCAACTCTGCCAAGCTGCTCTTCTTCCCTTTGCCTGCTGCCGAAGAGACAGGTCAGGAGAGGGGAGCCTGTGTCCCAGTTCCGCCTACCCCTGGCCTTCCTGGCAGCCCTTTCCACTTGCACATCTGGCCAAGTAGGGACTGGCCTGTGCTTCCACGTGAGACAGGTCAGGTAACCTTACCCAGGTCCACTCTGCTCTGCCACCATATGCCAGGGGCCAGGGCCCCAGGTCCCTCCCAGCCCGGGCCTTCTCCAGCCGGACCCCACCGGCTCTTACCGTGTTCACAGGCCTCCCTGCGGCCAAGGGTGGAACTGCTGTCGCCCATGCCCAAGCTGTCAGAGTCTGAGGTCTGCTTCTCTTGGGACTGCCTCTGTGGAGGGACACGGCCTCACATCAAGAGTGACACTCAAAAGTACTCCTTTATTGGTTCAGTCTTTTCCCAAGTCCCCAAGCATGTGATCATCAGTTAACAAACACGGTCAGCAATTATCATGCGCCTGATACTGCAGCAGGTATTAGAGGACAACAGTGGCTTAGGCAGAGTGGTATCTTTATGTCACGTCATTGGGGGAGTAAGACAATTGCTGAGAACACAATGAGAACAACGTCCTAGGCACTGGCCCTGGATTTGGCAGGTGACAGCGAGCTGGAAGAGTACTGAAGTGGGATGCTAATATAATTCACTGGCATTGTAGGGATGGACAGAGGGGTAAAACTGGGTACTTTTAAAAAGAGCACTGGAGAGAGTGTCATCCTAGCCAAGCTGTGACTCCACAGGAGGATGGATCAGGATGATGAAGAATATGAGCTAGCCGACATTGTCAAAATACTCATGATAGGACCTGGTGACCAAGAGGGGTCCACTATGATCCCAGCTCAGACGAGAAGATGGTAGGGACACACACACAGCTTTGTGGCCAGTCAGCCTTATTTTTACTCATTAAACCAACTAGGCCATTCATTCATTCGTTTCATTTGTTCATTCAGACAAGCTCAAGGTCATCCTTGGCAGCGTGGGAAGTGCAGCAGAGTAGTTAGACTGATCTTGGAAGAAATTATGACTCTTACTACCCTTAGTAGCTGTGGAAATGTGGGAAAATCCTTTCATCTTCCTGAGGCTTGGTTTCCTTACCTGAATTACACTCATTTCAGAAAGCTGCTGTGAGGTACCAGACAGCTGGCCAGGTAAAATTATGAGGCCAATAGATTGTGTCATTCCTCACACCTGTGTGATATGCTATCCTCCTGCTTCAGGAAGCTAAACTGTGCCAGCCAGCTGTAAGTCGTAATTAAACAGAGACTCACCCACTTAAGGCAGAATCACAGAGCTGAGCCCCTAAGCCGGTCTTGCTAGGGACCTCTGGACCAGGGCAGCTACTTGATTAGCTTAGTGGGGGCGAGGGGCAAGAGGGCATCCTCAATTTCCAAAGAGTTAGAAAAATGGCAACTGCCCACAAATGGGATAGAACTGTCAGAAGTATAAAGAATCATCTGTAAATTATGAAGCAGAAGTCATGGTTCTGTTCATTCTGCAGTGGTGGGCAGATGGCAAGATTTTCAAGATAGAGAGTGAATACATAGGAATGCTGGGAGCACTTCGGGAGTAACTCAGAGATGATGACGTTTCAACCCCATGGAGACACAGACCCCAATCCTCAGCCCTACTCCCACCCCACCCTAATTTCAGTTCCCTCTCCACAGGCAGACTCAGATGCACGAGCTTGCCTTTTCTGCCTGGCAGCATACCCTTCAAACTGCGCTACAGCATGAGCCCCTTGATCTAGCCCTGCTCTGGGGCTCATCATAGACACGCATCTTCCCTACCACCCTGGCCCCTCCCGCCAGCCTGAGCTCTTGTTTCCTTCACTGCTGCCATCCCAAGCATTTGAACAAGGCTCATGAGCTTCCCCTCTCTTCCTCCCAGCCATGCTGGCCACTTTCAATTCTATGCTCTCTTCTGCTCCAGCGCCTGCTTCCTCTGCTTCAAATGATTTTTTCCTCCTCTTTCTTGCTCCTTTATATCCTCATGTGAAGTTACTTCCTGGGGGAACTCTCCTGTACTTCTAGATAGGAACAGGGCTCTGGCGCACACTCCCAGGGAAGCTGGAACTTTGCCTTCCCAGCCCCTAGCCAGTGTGGTGTTTGTAAATCGGTGTGATTATGGTACCTGACTCCCAGCTGCTGCCCACTGGGCTATGGGTGCTGTGCGTGCAGTGTGTCCTTGCTTCTGCTGGGATTGTACTCTATCTAGGGCCTGTGTTGTGTCTGATGCAGGCAGATCCTCACTAAGTACCTTTCCAGTGGGTGCTCAGTGCTCTCCACTGACATGACAGAGATCTCAGGTGCCACCTTATCTGGGTTTAAACCCCAGCTCTGTTTCTTATTTGCCATGTGACACTGGGTAGATGTCTCTCTGCTGCAGCTTTCACATCTGAAAATGGACCAACAGTAGGAGTTGTTACTGAAGTTAAGTGAGCTAATACATGTGAAGCATTTGGAACAATGCTGGGTTCACAGTAACAGGCTATAAATGCTAGCCTGCATTATACTGTGTATGACCCTACTTTTGTGTCAGACGGATGATTTTAGGTCTGAGTCCCTCTGTTACCCACAGCATTGGCAAAGCATAGGTACTGGTATGTGTTTGCTCAAGGCCTGACCAATTGGCCAAAGACTGCTTCACTCACTCTCCTAGCAGGCATTTTCCTTTGCTGATGGAAGAATTTCAACTTAGAGTTCATGGCACAGTTCAAACATGACCGCCTCCTATCCTGGCAGGGTAAGCTACTCCCTTTCTGCCTTGTACCACCCCCTGAGCAGAGGTATCTGTTCATGCGCTGAGTGCAACAGGCAATTATTGAGCACCTGCTGTTGTGCCTGCTCTGTGCTGGGCACATATAGCTTATATGAGATCCTGATGAGGGCCTGGCTTTACCCCAGCCTGTGAGCTTCCCCAGCACAGAGCCTGTGCCAAGTGCCCCCAGCCTGACCAGGAAGAGACTGCTGGAGATAGATGTACCTTGTCCAAGTCCAGCTTGCACAGGAGGACTGGGGATCTGGGAGCCTCCACTCCTTCCACTCCCCCAATGGGCTTGCTGACCTCACGGATGACCTGTGGAGAGGATGCACAGCTAAGAAGAGGTGGGCAAGGAAGCTCTGAAGGCAAAAGATGCCTGGGTTTGGGCAGTCGGGGCTGTTGTGCAGACAGACTGGGGTTACTAGGAGGCTGAGATGGGCTGACATGGCCTTCTGAACCAGTATGGGGAACGCCGAGGTCTGAAAAGGCTTTTTCTTCTATCCATCCCTTGGACTGAAAAGATACAGGGCCGGGGACGGAGCAGCTTGGTTCCTAGACCTGGCTGATTAGTGGTGTGGTCTTGGGAAAGCCATTTCCTCTCTCGGGGCTCAATGTTCACATCTGTAAGGTGAAAATGCTGGTCCTCTGCGGGCGTGGTCTCAGGACAGTGAGATCAGGAGTGTGGAGCAGGATGCAAACCGGAAACCCTGCTTCTGTGACCCTGCATGGGGCAACCTGGGGCCGTCATCTCCCTTTCAGTGATGTGGAAGCTGAGACCCAAAGCAGACCACAAAATAGTGACAGTCCCCATCTGATGCTCACCCACAAGTTCCCGATGATAGGATGAGGCTCGGGTGGCGAAGCTCCCCCTCAGATGGCAGCTAGCTCTGCTTCCATCTGACAGAGAGCAGGAAGCCTAGTGCAAGTATGTGGCCCCCCAGCTCAAAACCCCTGGGCTTGTAGCCCCCAGGCTGGATGTCAGGAGGCTTTCCTAACTCCTGGCCTAGGGCTCTGCTTCTGACCTATCAGCTCCTGGAGACAGAGGCTTCCCCCGCAGGCAGGTTCCCTCTTCCTTCCCCTCCCGGGACAATCAGTAATGAGAAACACCAGACTTCCAGGGCAGAGCTGGATATCTCAGGAAGGAAGAGAAGGAGGGAGGTGCTTGGTTTCATTGTTCACAGGAAGATCAGAGGCAGAGAAAGGCTCCAGGTGGAGCCGTGGTGGGTGCAGGCACACAGGGTCTGCTGGACAAGGTTGGGGGGCAGCGTCACAATCATCGCACAGGAATCACGGACAGTTACTGGACACTTATGGCTGGCGGGCAGCGTGCCAGGTGCTCTCTAGAATCCTTATGAGAACCATTTTACAGATAAGGAAACTGAGGCATGAAGTGAAGTCAGTTGCAGAACACACAGCCAGTGAGCGCTGCTGAGGCCTGGGACTTGAACCCAGGTCTGTGGAGCACCAGGCCTTCTCTGTGCGCTGCCTTGCCGTCACTGTAGCCCTGTGCCTGTGCCTCGGGAACAGATTTACCTCTTGGCTTCAAATCCTGGCCCCAACCACTTAGCTGCATGACCTTTGGCAGGTCACATTAGTTCTCCATGACTCAGTTTTGTCTTCTGTAAAAGGGAAACAGTAATAGCCCCATTGTGAAGGGTACATGAAGTCACAGGATGTGAAGCTCTCAGCACAATACATGGCACAAAATACAGTGATGCCTGGGCTCATGAACTCAATTTTCCCCACGATTCTGGTTGAAAACCAAACTGGACAAGAAGCAAATCAAATTTCCCCAAAAGGAACACACTGAACGTAACCTTTCAATTTGATTTGGTTCTGGTCCAACTCAGTTCGCTACCAGAATCGTGGAAGAAATCCAGTTCATGAACTGGGGGACCGCCGTACGTGCTTGATACTGGGCAACCCTCCTTGTTCTGTGGAGTCATGAGGTGCAGAAGCTGGACCTCAGGTGCTGGTTACAAGGTTGTAGTAAGAAAGAATTTTTCCTTTTTTCTTAAGTATTAACTTGTTTAATGATAAAGTCAGCCTTCTCTATAAATATTAAACTCTCCATTCTAGGAGGTGTAGAAGGGTAGGCTGGACGAGTCCATAGTAGGGGTGTCAGAAAGGGGATTCAAGTAACTAGGGGTAACACAGGCCTCCAGCATGAGGTCTGTCGACTGCAGATATCCAAGGACCCCCAGGCCCATCTCTACACATGAGCTCAGGCACCCGTCTCTCACAAGCAAGGCTTCGTTCTTCCCGGGACAGGACTGGCCCCAATGAGGAAGCAGGCCTGGGGAAGAGAGGAAGGAAGCGGGGCCCAGAAGCCAGGCCCCATGTACAGGCCTCACCTACCTTCAGCCACTCCTCCGCCTGCTCCCGGCTCTGCAGCGCCAGCACCAAGACCTCAGTGGCCCCCTGGGAGAAGCGCAGCTCATGCCTCTTGTGCCTGCTGTCCTTGGGCACATAGATGACACTGCAGATGTCCAGCGCCAGCCTCAGGTGCGGCTGCCGGTCCTTGGAGCTTTTGTAACACTGGATAGGGAGAGAGGGGGTCAGGGAATGGAGTGAGGGTAGAGGAGATCCCCACCTATAATTATGGGCTAATTTCTCTCAAAATTGCAAAAGGCCTAAACAAAATATTGGCGAATGGAATCCAGATATATATAAAAAGCATGCTATATCAAGACCAAGTGGGGCTTGGTCTAGGAGCGCAAGGGTGGTTTAAAATAAAGAAAAAAACAAAACAAAACCATATAACTCATCATATTAACAGGAAAAAGGTGAAAAATTATACAGTTCAATGGAAGCAGAAAAAAGTATTTGATAAAATTCAGCACTTGGGGGCTGGGGATTTACCTCAGCGGCACAGTGCCTGCCTGGCAAGCACGAGGTTGTGAGTTTGATTCCCGGTACTAGAAAAAAACCAAAAAAATAAAAAATAAAAAAAATAAAATAAAATTCAGCACCTATAAACTCTTAGCAAACTAAGAACAAGGGAGGGAATCTTCCTTAAGAAACATCTACAAACAACCCACAGTAACCAACAGCCTGAATGAGAAGTATTTATTGTCTTTTTCTTTTTCTTTTTAAATTCTGAGACAGAGTCTCACTAAGTTGCTAGCCTGGATGAGCTCAAACTTTTGATCTTTCTGCCTCAGCTTCCCCGGTGTTGGAATAACCGATGTGGGTGTTATCACAGCTTTCCCCCCGAGGTCTGGGCTGCCTGTATCACCACTCTGTTGAGATTGTGCGGGCAGTGTGGCCACTGCAGCAAGTGAAGGACAACAGAAAAGACGCAAGGAGTGGACGCAGTCATCCGGGACCCTCGGACTGGTTCTGGCCTAGGACAAGTTTTCCCTGCACCATGGTGAGGAGATCTTGTCTCCAATGCGTGTGTGCTGAGCAAGGCTTGACAACATTTTGGGGGGGCAAAGAACGAGTATTGGTTTTTGAATATTATATTTACTATCCTACTTTGCACCTTTAGTGAAGTGTAGGCGTATTTTATTTTAGGGTGTACTTTATTTTATGAAATGATAATGATGTGAGATGGTAAATTCGAAACATTTCTTTACAATAAGCAAGTTATATATGGATGGATGCTGCAGAGGTCAGTTATATGAAGGACAGTTGTGTGGAAATGCGGGTGGGAGGGGGTGCACTCCACTTCACAGTGTGCAGCTTCCGGCCCAAGGGATTATGGGTGTTTTGAAAAGCCACTTTTCATTTTGTTTTTCTCTAGTTTAATAAATCAGCACATTAACTTGCATAATGAAAAACAACAAACTTTGCTTTAAAGTGATAAAAAATTCTCTGGAAAAAAACCAAACCACCACAATTGGTAAGCCTGCACCAGGTTTTAAGAGCCCTTCGTGTGTGCACATGTGCGTGTGTGTGTGTGTGCATGTGTATATGAATTCTGCTGGAGTGGGAGGGCTCTGATCTAGGAAGTACTGGTCTCTGAGATTCTGTGTATGCAGCCAGGGCAGGCACAGCAGGCTGAGGCAGATACACCCACAAGCACAGTGGACACACCCACAGCACGTCCGCTTGAGGCAACTCACCAGGAGCTGGTCCTCCTTGATGACGGTCAGCTGCTTGGCCCACTGCCCAAAGCGCTTTTTCCGCAGCAGGAAGGCACATATCCGGCAGTCCCTCACCAGGTGCATCGAGGCCTCCTCGGAGGGCCACTGGTGCCTGGGCTGAGGCCCCTTGCCTTCCTCCTCCTCATCATCGTAGGACTCGTAGGAGCTGCTCATCGCGTCAGAGTCATTGTCTGCAGGTGCCATGGAAAAGGACCTGTCACTGCTGTCTCCAGGGAAACCTTCTTACCTCTGGGCTGCCCTGCCCTGAGGTCCTGAGACCACTGAGGGGGGCATAAGGCATGAGTTTTGGCAATGACTGCCCAAAGGCCCTCATGTGGGGCACTGCAGTTTAGATTTACCACCCTTTGTGACCTTAGTGGCTTCCCTTCCCTGAGCTCCAGGTTTCTCATCAGGACGTGATCATAATAAGCGACAGCACCTACACTTCCTCTGGCTACCTGGACCCCAAGCCCTGGAAGAATGTTCAGCAAATGTCTGGCACTAGTAAGCGGTCAGTAAAATAAATGCCTGCTATTACCCCATCATATGGACAGCCAGTGTCTCGATCCTTACGGAAACCCCCCTTTAGAGACAGGGAAACTAGGCTCCCCTAAGACCATTACCCCAAATCAGGGAGGCCAAGGGCAAGACTCGAGCTCCAGGCTGCTATTCCAAGGGTTTTTCCACTGACCCTGTGGTCACCCAAAACAAGTGCTTTGGGGTCTGTGTGGTGGCTATGGCCTGGGTGAGGGTAATGGTGCAAGTGGGCTGAGGCCAGCCCTCATTGAGGACGGAACTTGTGTGAACACACCAGCACTTACAGGAGTGCTTCAGCTCGCCGTTCATCCTGGTTGTGGGGTAGCTGCTGTCTGCGTCTTCATAGTAGCCATCCACAATTGAATGGGCTGGGCTGCTGCCATCTGTGGGATGGTTGGAAAGGGTGGAGCTGCAGAAATGGGGGCAGACGCTTGGGGGGCTGGGATGGCTATGGGTACCATGCCCCTTCTCAGGGGAGACAAGGGGAGCTCAGGGCAGCCCCAACCTGGGCATGGGACTTATCTCTGTATCTAGTCTGCTCTGGTTCTCCACATATGTTCTGTGCCCCTGGCACCAACTGCCCTGCTGGGCCCTGTCATACCTCTAGGCCTGTGACCACGCTATTTGCTGTTATCTCTGATCTTCTACCGGAGAGCTCCTGCTTATCCATCAAGACCCAGCTCAAACATCTTTGTCTGACTTTGCAAGGTGATGAGTGGTTAAATCCACCTCAGTGACCTTACTCTGTGTGTGTGTGAGTGTGTGTGTGTGTTGGTCACAGCTCTCAACACTGCACTTCAGAGTGTTGTACCAGCTGCGTGGGCTCAGACTTCCCTCCATCTCAGCCCTTCCTAGTATGTGCACTCCTCTGACTTGTAAGGCAAACTTCCTTCCAAACCTCTGGGACTACAAAGGAGAGCTGGCCTAGATACTAACAGTGCGTGCACGAATGGCTCCTGTGCTGAATTCATGTAGTGCTTTCTCACTGGGACTGGGAAGCCTAAGAGTACCACGCAGCAGTTAGCAGGCATCTCAAACTGCATTCTGCACCCGATTTCCCTGGGGGTTGCCTCAGAATGCAGATCCCGGGGCTGCATCCTCAAAGACTGGATTCGTTGGAGTGCATTGGGCTGAGGAATCTGCCTAAAAAAATCTATTTGATAGGAAAATTCTAAACATACATATAAACAGAAAATAGATCAACATCTAATGAATCGGAACAAAGTTCATTAAAAATTATTTTTGAAAACGCACACGGTTATTTTTTCACAGACAGCCCCCTCAGCACAGCTGGAAGTGTGGCTGGTGAGTAGCGTGTGATGTGGGCTCGATCAGAGTTGAGTTCGAGGCCTGTCAACCATCTACTAAGTGACCATGGAGAGAAGACACAGTTTTCCTGCATTTCAACCCATGAAGTGAATGGTTCTCACCCTGGGCTACTGATACAGGGTACATGAATTCTTAACATGGTGCCCAGCGCAGTGGACGTGCAAGATAAATGCCAGCTATTGTAATTGTCTCCTTTGAGTCCTACAGACCTGGGAGGAGGGTTCAGCCCATTTTATAGACAAGATAACAGGCCCTGCAGGGCCTGCTAGTGACAGAGCCTGGATGGGAAATGTGGTTGCCAGCACAGCCCCTGCTCCAGGAAGTCTTCCTTCCCCCAGTCCAATGCACACCACACTGTTCTTCAGCGCTCTCTCCTGGCTCCCAAGCCCCTCCTGTCCATCTGTTTCCTGAGGACGGTGGTGCTGAAATTCCCAGTGACTGGGACATTTGGTTCTATCTTCCAAGTGAGGCTCAGAGCCTACCTTTCCAGCAGGTACTCGAGGGCTCAGATGCTGCCCACCCTTGCTGTGAGGTGGACTGGGGGTGCTGGGGCCAGGGGAATGGGGTGGGGAAAGGACACGTTGGAGAAGAGGGAAGGGTGGGGGCAAAGCACTGTGACACCTGGCTGGGCTGGACTCCCCTTCCTGAGCTCCTCCCTTTTCTCCTGCCCCAGGATCTCTGCTGCTGCTCCCAGGCGGGTGCTTCTTGGCCTTGCCTGAGGGGGAAGTGAGGTCTCTGGGAAGGCGGAGGAACGTCATCTTGCCAAGGGGCTCAAGTGGTTGGCCTGGGCTTGGGGCCCAGAGAACCTCATCCCTTCCTCCCTACTCTGCCCTTACATGGATGAAATAGCTGCTTGCAATGACGCAGGATTTGAGACTCTCAAGGCCTCAGAAGGCCACAGGTCATGTGGTCCAACCCCACCATTGCCCAAGGGTGGAGACAACCCAAATGTTCATCAGGCAATGGACGGCATGTTCATACAACAGACTACTGCTCAGCTACAAAAAGGAGCGAAGTTCTGATACATGCCCCAACATGGATGCCCCTCGTAAACATGCTGCCAAGCGAAAGAGGCCACGTGCAAAAGGCCACATGTTATATGACTCCACTTATGTGAAGTGTCCAGAATAGGTAAATCCGTATTGATAGAAAGCAGACTGGCTGTGGTTGAGAGGGTTTGGGTGGTGGCGGGGAGTGGGAAGCCGGTGTTTGGTGGTACAGTTTGCTTTCTGGTGATGAAAATGTTTGGGACCGAGACAGTAGAGGTGGCTGTGCAACACTGAATGTGAGAGATGTTTCTGGTTGGACATATTAAAATAGTGAAAATGGTCAATAAAAACATTTGCCTGTGGTAAAAAAAATTACAGTAGTACAAAAGAGTGTGAATAGAAGAATATATTTCCTTTATCCAGATTTCTCTTTGATATGGGGTCTTGCTATATTGCCCAGGTCAGTCTCAAACTCCTGGGCTCAAGATCTTTCTGCCTCAGCTTCCTGAGCAGCTGGGATTCCAACATGCACCACCAAACTGGGGATATCTAAGAAGGGTATGTCTCAAATCATGCATCAGGCTCACCCGCTGTTGATATGCTGGGGCCTCACATATACTAGGCAAGTGCTCTACCACTGAGCTACACCCCTAGCCCTGCACCCAGATTTCTGTTTACTTCCTACAGGAAAATCCTGTTCATAGTTTCTTGTACATCCTAGAAAAATTGTTAAAAGAAACACATGACTATGTGTGAGTATATTAAAAAAACCAAGTAGAATCATGTTATTTGCAGTATTGTGTGTTTGATTTTTTTAAATGACCATAGTTTGGGATTCATTTCTGATCAGCATGAGCCTGTTTTATTTATATTTTTTGATTGGAGAAAATTCTGCTGTCCTGCTGGATGACAGGGCAACCACACACTAACATTATCATACACAGATGCAGCTATGCATGTTGGGTCATCCAAAATCTACAATATGGTTCTTTGTATGTAATGCTAAGTCTCCATATTCAAGAAAGTGGCTTCAGCTGGCCCTCAAAGGAGCAGATGCCTCTCACTAAACTGGGGGAAACTGGTGGGAAGATCAAGCCCTCTGTTAACAATACTAAGAGATTTTCAAAGGTAATCTGAACCCAATTATCAGTAAAAACATGTACCTAACATTTTTATATTGATGCACAAATTATACATGCAAATATAAACTATAGTCAAGTAGTATGGTAGTAGCAGATTATAAATACAATAAAACACATAGAATTTTTAAAGAGATGTTTTCTAGCTTACACATCCCTGGGTGGGCCCACTGGACTCTGAAGACCTCTGGTTCAGACCAGGTGCCCTAGCTTACCTGCTGACTCAGTAACCTAACCCACCCAGAAGATGTGATTCTGCCGAAACACAAATGGCCTCGTCACCCGTAGAGAGGAGCAGTGCGGTGAGCGGCAGTCTCCATACGTGGCGTCATGCTGCCGGAATCCCAGCACTGCTAGAGTACGCCTGCCTCCTCCTACTTTAAGGGTAGAGGAATAGAGGTCCAGAGTGTGCAGGCCCCATGAAACTAAAACTGTCACCCAAGCTTCTGGACTCTGGGCCCTGTTCATGGTCCAGCAATGCTGAGGTCAGGAGCTAAGGGAGCCCCTCCTCAGGAAATAGGGACCTCAGGGGCAGGTGCCAGGCATGGCGTTCCAGCCCCTGCAGGGCACAGAGGAGCTCGAATTAGCTTTTTGGGGAGGAGAAGCGTGGACCCCAGGGTGCCAGGACTTACTGTGGGAGCTGATATACTGCGGAGACTTGCCGGGCCCCAGAGGAAGGGCCTCCTCGTAGTCGTCCTCGGGCGGAGGCTTGTTGGGCAGTGGCGGAGGCGGGTTGGCTGCCTGCGGGGGACAGGGCAGCTGTGTGAGACTGAGCAGGCTGGGGGCAGGTGCAGCAGGAGAAAGCAGGCTGGCAGCGGGGAGGCAGGTGGCTGACTGAATGTGAAACTATAGCTTTTGATCAAAGCTGCCAGGACCCAAGGGCATATTTGTCCTGTGCTCTTTTTGCCCAACTTTTTAAGGACCGAGGCTCCTTGGTAATGTCTGAAAGTTTTGTGGACTGCAAATACAGGGGAGTCGTACTTTAGAGTGAGCACATGCAGAAATCAAAAACGATCATGAGTTCTGCAATGCTGGGCACCACATCTATGTGCGCATGGGGAGCAGCAGGAGCACGGAGTGCGAGGCCTATTCCTTAGTGAGGTAGCGTCTCCCGAGAGGGAAGAGCTTAGGCTCTGGGTCCAAAGGAACTGTAGCTGCACAGCTAAGTTCTGTCACTTACTATTGTGAGACATCAGGGACATGACCTTCCCTTCTGAGCCTCAGCTTCCTTATCTGTGAAATGAGGATAACAAGTGTGTCCAGCTCGATTGCTGTGAGTATGTAAGGGACACACTATGTTCTCTATGCTTGGTGCCACTGACAGTCACTTGTGCAGCTGACGGGCAATGCTTGCCTCTAAGTCTGTGACTCCAAGGTTGGGGATCCTAGATCTGGCCCAATCATTCATTTTGTAGGTGAAAATCTCAGGCCCTGAGAAGGGAAGTGACCTTCCCAAAGCCACACAGCAGAGGAATGGGGAAGGCAGAGGCCACCCTCTGGCCCAGAGCTTTCCCATCACCCACACATGTGACCTGAGGTCAGGTGGTGCTGTTGTTTGGGCCTGAGGGGACAGACTAGCTCACCACACTCTTCCTGCTCGGCAGGGGTGCAGTGAGCCCGCTATTAGGGGTCATTGAAATGTGGACACGGGGCTGTTTCTGCCTTAGGTGACCCCCTGTGCAGCCGGGAGGGTCCCTGCTGTCATGGGGAGAGGGGCCGCTTGGCCCACATGTGTGAACCCCAGGCATGACTCACATTTCTCAGAGGTGGGCTCTCTGCCGGCTCAGGGCTCGTTCCTTTGCTGGCTTCCCCATCGTCCTCTGGCATGTCCCGGAGGTCACTCAGGTCACAGTCTATGGAGGGTGGTCAGGCCATGAGGCAGAGAGCGCCAAGGATGAGTATGAAAGAGGGTGAGGAGGGCCGGGCTGGGGGTCTGCGGGCCTGCATGTGACGCTGGGTGCTCCCGACTACTCCACTGGTGACCCGGGCATGTGGCTTCATCACCCACACACCCGGGACTACTCTGCAACCTGGTCACACTAGGCCCTGCCTCACCAGTCATCAAGGATTAGGGAGAGGATCAAGTATAATTCTGTATGGTGCTCTGGAGATTCTTGAGGGCTGTGTTATGAAGGCAGTGTTTCCCTTGAGTCTGTCCGTCCCTAAACTGCCCAGGAGCACCTAGACCGTGGCACTGTCCCATGGCTGCAGGAGCGGGCACGGCAGGGAGGACTCTCCCACATCTTGCCCAGGCTGCGGCCAGTCCCAGGCAGCCAGAGACCCTCTATCTCAGTTCTCATTTTCACTGAGTTGCTGGTGAGATAATCACTTCTGTGTGGAGCTGTCTTTGGTCCCCAGATTTGTCCTTACTGTTCCCCAAATCTTGGGGATGTTTTCCTGTAACTGCAGATTCTGATTATACTTTCAGGGCCTGGAGAACTCAAAGTGACTTAATGACACAGTGTTAGAGCCAGGCCCAACTGACCCAGGGACACTTCAGTGTACAAAGAGAGAGATGGCTTCATGGCAGGGTCAGGAGAGGCTGCTTACCGAATTCTTCAAAGAGGGACTCCACGAAGCTGGGCCCCGAGTGGAGGTCTGCAGTGTTCACGTACAGGTAGGAGACTTCCTTTTCTGGGAGGAAAGAGGAGACTGGCAGCGAGGAGGGGAGGGGCCAGGTCTGTGCGCCTAGGACACAGCACTCAGTTTGCAAAGCCTGTCCGCGTCCTGCTATTTCACTGCTTTTCACACTTTGCTTCCATTTTTATACAGTGACTAAGGGTCTCTGTCTCCAAGTAAAAGGATGCCCAGTAGCCTAGTGTTACTGGGCTGCTCTGGAGTTGGACAGAGGATGGGGCTCTGATGAGCACAGCAAGAAAACCGCTGCTCCTCTCATCCTCCCAATGGTCCTGTGAGGGCGGCAGGTGGCATCAACTCTGTTCTGGGGAAATGAGGGAGTCACGCAAGGATGACTTCACACTACATCCTGCAGATGCCCTGAGCATTGCAGGGCAGAGGTACAGCTCCAAGAGTTTACTGAGACATTCTATGCTGTTGACAGACTTGGGGTGTCCAGGAAGGGCTGGGGCAGGAAAGGGGGCATGCTGCTGGGGCGGACAGGACTGGGAAGCACAGGCAAAGACGTGGGGGAGGTGTATAATGCACGAGGCTGTGTGTGTCAGAGGGTTGCGGTAGCGCATGTCTGTGTAGGCAGTGTAGGAGGTGCACACACTGTGTGCTGTGGACCTGTCTGGTGTAGAGCTGACTGTGTGTTTATGTGCAAGCTGGTGCTGTGTGAAGCACTGGATTTGGTGTGGGTTGCATGTCGTGTGTATGTGAGCATGTGTCATGCGCGAGTGTGCTGTGTTGTGTGTTGTGCGTGGTGGGGGTGTGAGTGTGTGTAGTGTGCGTGTGTTCTGTATGTGTAGGTCTGTGGAGAGCTGGGGATGGAAGAGGACAGACAGCATGGCCAGGACTGTGGAGGAGCGGAGCCCAAGCAGATGAAGACACTGGGCCAGAATGTGCAGAACTTACCACGGTACAGAGCTTAGATGAATCCCTTCAGGCCATGGGGATACTGCCACGTCTTAGAGGGCACTCAAGGGAGATACTGCTGTCCTTGAGAGTGGGGTTGTCTGGGGCTTACCTGGGAGGGGCTGCAGGCTCTGCAGGATGGAGGCCACTGCCATCTTCTTTTCCAGGGTGCTATCACTGAGGTCCTCATTGTCCAGGAGGGTGAGCAGCCTGGTGAGCTCTGGGAGCAGCTGCTCTAGCACTGGGGAGGAATGCCAGGGCATGTCATGGCTCGGGGTCCAAGACCCAGCTCTCTCCACCTACCAGAAGCCAGGGCAGCAGGGGCCAGAGGACGGGGCTTGGTGTGCCAGGGAGACCAGCTGTCCCAGTGCTGGCCACCAGCCTCCCGTAGGAAGGTGCTCATCACCCAGTGGCACTCCCTCAGCCTCTCCACTCTGCCTCACGCTTCAGATAGCCATGACCAGAGGGCTAGACCTCCCTGGATTCACCCTGGCAACCCTGAGCTCAGGCATTTCGGCCTCCCTTTGTCCTCATCCTGCTCTCAGCTTTGCAGGCCTGCGGGGGGCGGGCACTCTATGGAGGTCTCAGGCTGGAGCCCCGGCTGTCCAGGACACAGGCAGGAAGGCAGCTTTCCTGTCCCATCAGTTCATATGCTTCAATCTCTGGAACCTTCTGTTTCCGGTGCCTCGGCCAGAGCCAAACTAAACATTAACCCTTCCTGTGCCATGGCCCAAATGATCACTGCATTTTCTCCATATTTATACCAGTGCTTCACAAACCTGAGTGTGCACAGAAACTACCTGGGGATCTTGCCAAGATGCAAAGTCTCTCCCATTTACTCATGAGGGACCTGAGATTCTGCATTTCTGACAAGCTCCTAGGTCCAAGATGATCCTGAGTTGCAAGATCCTACTGCACAGAATCCTTTAAAGACTGGTGTCACTGATGTTTCCCTATTCCAAACAGTAACTTGGGACTTGGTTTGCCTTAGAGCCAAAGGCCAATTTCATCACAGTAACAGTAGCATCCTACTTTGTAGTTTATCAAGCTTTTGTATATGGTAATAAAAATCCTACCTGTGTGGAACAATTATCACGAGTGGTGTTAAACCCTTCATGCTTCATGTATCATTTAAAACTAATATGTAACCGTTTATTATCTCCATTGTAAGAAGGATTAAACCAAGGCTCAGGGAGATTAAACACTTAACAGTTTACTCCCAGCATCACTGGGGCAGTGCGTTTGTTTACATACTATGCCAAGTGCTGCTAGGGCAAGTGTGGAACGTTTTAGGACACGCCATGCACGGAAAAATTTTTGAACAAATTTGATAAAATTGTCACTTTTATATTTCCTGTTATATTATCTTAATAAAAATTAATGAAAAATGTGCAATTTTTGGTCATCTTGTATTTAAATAATTGGACTGCTAACAGAGCTAACAGAGTCTCACCTACATCGCATCTGCTTTCCTCATCCTACTCTCCTTTAACCATAGAATAACACTGCCTTGCAGAATCACACTGGATCCCACCAACAAGTTTTGAGCTAGGTCCCAAGACTGCCCCTACTTTTTAAAGAAAGAAAGGCTGAGAGGAGGTGAGCAACTTTGTTGAGCTACACAGAAGTAAACAGAAGGGCCAGGGCTCCCACTGCAGACACGATCCTCATCTCTGTGTGCTTCTCTCTGCCCTGGGCTCCTGAGGAAGCAGGGCGTGCCTGGTGTGAATCTGCAGGCTTGGTGTTGTGAACCAGGGGCTAACAAAATCCTACCTTCTTGTCTAAGAGACACTTCTTGTCTATGAGAAGCAACCCTGGAGCCCTGGGTCAAATTCAGGCTCCACTGATTAGCTGTGGGATGCTCAGCAAGTTATTTAATGCTGTTTCCTCCTCTGTGAAGGGGGCTAACGGCACCTGCATGGTAGTGCTGGCTGGTTCAGCATAGAGCTCCCTGCAGGCCAGCCTTGGTGCTGTTGCTTCGGACTTCCCTCTGCTGATGTGTGCTGTGCAGATGACACAGCCTCCATCTCCCTCAAGGGGACCAAGACTCTGAGGTTGGACTTGAGGTCTGGCCAACACAGTGTGTGGAGTGGGGCCTGCCTGGTGCGGGACAGCCTACGTGTGTTCCATGAGAGAAGGGATGAGCAGGTGACCATGCTTGGACTTTCTTTTCCACAGAAATCTTCCATGTAGATCAGTCATGGCGAACCTTTTAGAGCTTTCCATGATAACAAACAGCCCACTATGGCATACATGCTACAGGTTCACCACCACTGAGCTAGACAGTGGCACTGCTGGGAAAACCTGATGATGCTGCTGTCTCTCTAGAATTCCAGCATTGCCTTGGACTGGTGAAGAACAGGCTGAAGGCTGATGAATCCACAGCAGCACTGGCCTCATGGGTGCTCCCTGCTGCTGGGCACACAGCTGGTGGCTTACTGACCAATTTCCTGTTGGGGCATCTGTGAGGAGTCCGATTGGGATGCCCATTTCTGAGGATATGCCACCAAGGCTGAGAAGAGCTAAGGGACAGTCACACAGCTTCGATCCCTAGGCTGATGATTCCTAGAGCTGCTGGGCTGTACAACTTTAAGGGGACTACTGGCCCTGAAAGGAGCTTACAGATCTGTTGCCCCCCGGGCTTAAGCCCCCTGTGAGCCACAGCAGCCAAGGTTCTGGGTGGGGAGGCACCCTCTTCAAGAGTAGGAAACTGGTCAAACTCATTCCAGCTAGTCTGGAGCTGTTTGGAAGGAATCTCCAAATGGAATCATGTACCTGTCCAGCCTCCTCAGGGAAACACCAACTGTCAGCTAACCCAGTTTTAAAACACTTACTGAGCACTAATTGGGTTCCAGATGGGACCACTTTGAGGGGCTAGGAAAAATGCAATGTTATCCTAGAGGGCAATCTGTGTCTCTCTCTCTCTCTCTCTCTCTCTCTCTCTCTCTCTCTCTCTCTCACACACACACACACACACACACACACACACACACACACACACACACGGAAGACACAATGAAGCACTCAAAAGCAGTGATTTACATATGAAAATTCCTGACTCTGCTTTCTTCTCACACCAATGTCAGAGCTGTGCGGGTGCTGGGAGGGTTACCCTATTTCAGGCATTCTGAAACTTTTTGATCTCTGGATCCTTTTACACACTGCACACTCAGGGAAAATGACAGTGAATAAGACATGTATAAAAGTATGGTATAAAAGTCGTTGTGACCTTGTGAACCTCCCTGAGAGCATTTTGGGGAGACCTCAGGTGCCCCCCATCCCCAACCACGTTTGGTGCTTAATATAAATGACAACTGTGCCAGCGTGGAAGACCTCTGTTTGCTAAGCTTGCTTGGTTTCTTAAGTTTCTCCTTTTCTTTCCTTTCTCCTCCCTTCCTTTCCCTCTCTTCTTTTGTTTCTTTCTTTCCTTATGTCTTTCTTTCTTTTTGCTGTGAGCTTCCAACCATTTCTTGCTGCTATCAGTAGGTACCTGGGCCCAGTAGATTCTAGCTTCTTAATGCAATGCTGTGCTGCTCCTAATATAAGCTTGGCTACTACTGTTTCTGAACGTGAACAATTAGGTTCTGGGTGAATTTTTTGCATTTATCACATGAGCTTTAGTATCGAAGCTTCATAATACCATTTTCTGTTTCCTTCCTGGTTTTTGATGGCATTCTTTACATGGGACTTTGACCTCTAAGTGCTCTGCATTTAGCAGAGATGTGATAAACCAAGTTCAAACAGAGTAGAGGAGAAGGAAGGGCATGAGAGAGTTGAGGAGAAGTGGATGGAGATTGAGGGCTGCCACTCAGTCCTGGTGGGAATTTCTGCAGCCAAGAAGGAACTGGTGGTCAGCAGGGGCAGAGGGGGCACGAGGCATGGAGCAAAGCTCAGGCTGCGGGATGCATGAGTTCCTCTGTTGGGCTGAGTGGCTGTGTACACCAGGCAGTTGCTATTCATCATCCTACCAATCCTCCAATGACCTACAAAGAATGAAATGGAGGCTAAGAGAAGTGAAGATTCTTAGCCAGTCAGTGGTAGAGCAAGGCTGTGGGCCCAGGTCTTTCTGTCTTCAACTTGAACCCCACACTTAAATCTTCCACCAGACAACCTCAAGCCGAGCTCAGCCCAGCTCAGCGGAGGGGAGGCCAGGCCAGGAGGACAGCGTGGGGCTTTCCCTCAAAGCTGTTGCTCTGAGGGCTCTGACAACTTCACTGAGGCTTCTGACTCTTCCACTGGGGATCTCTGGGAAACTCTTACAGTGGGGCTGAAATTCTCTGTCCCTACTGGCCCTATCTGAAAATCAGAGCCCTAACTGTGAAGACCTCATAGAAGGAAAAGAAGTTGTTCAAAGCAAATGCTTGGCTAAATGGTGGGGATCTTATCCCAAAGAGAGATTATATACATCATGGGTATAAGAAACACATCGGCCAGTGCTGGGCTCTGCCAGAACAACACAGAGCCCACACCAAGAGCCTGACTCTCAAATGCAGTGAATACAGAACTGCTTTCCAAGACAGCTTTGTCTTAAATGCTGCAGAATCCAACCACAAAGATTTAAACCGCCAGGGAACTTAATACAGAGGGAGGCCTCAGGGATATAATACAAATGACAAATGATTCTGCCATGGCTCATATATACCACCAGGACAGCAGCCTTGAGTTTTAGGAAAAAAATAAGACTTCTGGGATTGTTGAAAATGCAGAATGATTCAGTACTATACTGGGATTCAGGAATCTACATTTTAACAAGCATTCCTGGTAATTCTGTTGTAGACAGTTCAATTGTCAACTTTTGCAAAATACTTTAGCAAAGATACTAACAGGAGACATCTACAAAAATAAGGAATGAAACCGCTCAAGTTCCTTAAGAAATTATTGGACTGAGAACACAAAGCACAGAGAACAGGAGTCCCTACAGAAGATGACACATAGCTGGAATACGGAGTCTTGCTTTAACCAGTCATAGTAGCTAGGGCTTTGGAGTCATCAAGCAAATACTGGGATTCTTATACTGACACTTCTGGGTTGTGTTGAACCCTGGTTTTATAATTTGTAAAATGGGAATAGTAGGATCCCAACCTCCTGGGCTAGGAGGACTAGATAAGGGCATGTTTGTGAAGCACTTAGCATAGTGCTATGCCTGGAGCAGATAACTCAATACATGATAGTCATATTGCATATTATTATTGTCACCATTGCTATTCTCAATTCCCCAGAACTATGTAGACTCCAAAGTAC